ATATATATATATATATATATATTTTACAAATATAGTAATATCGTAAAATATACTTACTGGTAGACCCGGTAGACCACTATCACCTTTAAGTCCTTGATAACCAATGAGTCCTGGTAAACCAGGTGGACCGGGTAGTCCTTGATCTCCTTTTAATCCAGATATTCCTGGACGACCAGGTTTTCCTTCCATACCTGGCAATCCAGGGAATCCTGGAGAACCTTTTTCACCGCGCTCTCCTTTTATACCCTGTAAACCATCTTCACCTGGTCTACCTGGACCACCAGGTAAACCTCGTCTACCGGGATATCCTTTTGGTCCATCAATACCTGGTTCGCCGCGATCACCTTTTGCACCTGGGAATCCTGGAAGACCCGCTCTACCAGGCTCTCCCGGTAAGCCTGGCTCACCTGTAAAATAATTTTGATTATTTTATAACACACATTATAATAAAAAAAGTAATGTTAAAAACATAGAAATTTTTATTATGTTATACCTTTGCTTCCATCGACTCCTGGAAGACCAGCAACACCTGGAGGACCAGGTGGACCAACTGGACCGGTATCTCCTTTTTCACCAGGTGCTCCAGGCAAACCATTTATTCCTGGTGTGCCAATATCTCCTTTCTCACCAGTAAAGCCTGGTAATCCCGCCCAACCTTGTGGACCTTCTTTTCCTGGTGGTCCTGGAAGACCCTTTTCTCCTCTTTCACCTGGTGGACCTGGTAGACCAGGACTACCTTTAACGGATATGCCAAGCTCTCCTTTTTCACCTTTTGGTGCTGGAGCTCCTGGAAAACCTCTAGGTCCTTCTCTACCAGGTTCTCCTGGGAAACCCATAGGACCCATGTTGCCTTTATCACCACGCGGGCCAGGTAAACCTCTTGGACCAACAGGACCAGGAGCACCAGTAGGACCAGATGGCCCAGGTGGACCCTAAATGTTAGATTGTTATACTGTAAACTTAGTAAACTTATTAAATAAAATTGACTTTTATAAAAGCTTTAATAAATGCATACCGAGAAACCCTGTAATCCTTTGTCACCTGGTAATCCGTCAAAGCCGGGAGGTCCGGGTGCTCCCTTCTCACCAGTAAAACCTCGATCACCCTTAAATCCTTTTAATTTGAGTAGTTGTGGACATTGACCTACACGCAAACAATTTGTAAATATATATTATAATTATGTTTTTAAATATATATTATATGTATAAATATATATCTATAATATATATTTTAGTGTATTTCTTAAAAGCGTACACAAAACAAAGTGTAAAATTAAAAATATTGATAAAATCTTACCAGCTTCACCCTTTTGTCCTTCTATGCCTGGCTGTCCTTTTTGTCCTTCAGATCCTGGTCGACCTGGTTCTCCTTGTTTACCTTTCACACTTAAACCTTTTTCTCCTTTATGTCCAGGCGTGCCCGGTCTTCCTGGAACGCCATCTTGTCCAGGAAAGCCACGGTCTCCCTAAAAGTTTAGAATCTGATAGATAAAATACTTCTCTGTCAATAAAAAAATATTAATAATTTTTTTCAGAAACATCTGGAAAATTAACAAGATAATCTTACCGGAGTTCCTTTAAGTCCAGGAAAACCTTCAAATCCAGGTCTGCCCTTTTCTCCTGGAGGTCCTTCTGGTCCTGGTGGACCTTGTCGACCAGGTTCGCCACGCACACCTTTTTCACCTTTTTCCAATTTAAGCATGTTCCATGTAACAGTTGCTGGAGTCCCAGGTTCTCCTTGAGGTCCTGGCGAACCAGGTATACCATCTTTTCCCTTAATAAAAGAATCGATACATTTCTTTTATTAACAATTTATAATGCGTTAAAAAAATAAAATAAAATAATATTGTATAATCTAAGATAGAAATTACCAAACCAAATAAATTATTACATACCGGCAGTCCCGGCGGTCCAATCGGACCTGGTAAACCGTCTACTCCAGATTCTCCCGGAAAACCGCGTTCTCCAGGAGGACCTCGAGGTCCAGTAAGTCCAGGAATACCATCTGTGCCGCGATCTCCTTTAGAACCTCTTAATCCTGGTAAACAATCTATACATCGTCCACCAATATCTCCTTTTTCTCCAGATCCTCCTGGGGAACCCGGTAAACCGTCTCTACCGGGAGCTCCCGCTTCTCCAGGTTCGCCTGGTGCACCAGGAGCTCCTGGAATACCATCTAGAGAATCTCCTGGTCTTCCTCGTACACCAGGATAACCTCGCTCTCCTTTTTGACCTTTTTCTCCATCAAAACCAGGTGTTCCATCCATGCCTTTTGGACCCTAGATATAATTCGATAATTTATTACTTTAACTACATATTGCTTAATACAATAATTGTAACAATAAAACTTGACCGTATAGTTACTATTATCGATAATCCTTTCTCTCCTAGTGGTCCTCGTGGCCCTGCTGGTCCGGGTGGTCCATCAAATCCACGTGGTCCTGGACCTCCAGGAAATCCAGTTAAACCAGGTTCGCCTTTTGCACCTTTTTCTCCTGGTAAACCTTCCGGACCTGGAATTCCAGATAATCCGGGGCCTCCTTGTAAACCTACAGGACCTCTTGGTCCTGGATCACCCGGAAAACCGTCTGCTCCTCGTGGTCCAGTAGGTCCTGGGAAACCACGTGGTCCTTTTGGTCCTGGTGGTCCCGGTCTTCCTTTACCACCCTAGAGCATAATATTGAACTTGAATTCAAAAATAACATTTTTATGAATTTAATAACATTACTGTAAAAATAATATATAGTTATATTAAAATCAGAAAAATAAAACTTACTCCCGGTGGTCCAGGAGGTCCTCGTAATCCTGGTACTCCCAACGGTCCATCCCGACCTGGTTCTCCTTTTTTACCAGGTCGTCCAGGAAGTCCTTCCAATCCGTCAATACCTCGATCACCTTTTCGTCCAGGAGGTCCTGGAGGTCCAGAGAAACCATCTCTACCCTGAGTAGAAAAGAAAAGAAAAAAATTAGAAATGCATAATTAATAAATTAAAAAAAGATTATTTATTATTTTTATTTAGCAGTTATTTATTATAAAATAAATCCGTAGAATGTACTTACACGAATGCCAGGAGCTCCTGGAAGACCTTTTTCTCCTTTGTGACCTAGTGCTCCTGGTATACCATGATCACCTATTAATCCAGGTTCACCTTTTTGTCCTTCCGGTCCCATTTCACCCTAAATTAGATTTATTAAAGCATATTTATTTAAAACATTAGTTGATATTTTTTACATACTTTGTCTCCTTTCCTTCCCGCTTCTCCGGGTGGGCCTGTTACTTCCGACCATCCTTCAAATGGTTCCAAAGGCGCACCTGGAGGTCCAAGTTCTCCTTTCTGACCTTTGTCTCCTTTTTGTCCTTCAAATCCAACACCCATGTTTCCTTTTGCTCCTTTTGCACCTGGTAAACCAGGAGCACCCTAAATTTATATATAATATTGTATATTATAAATATTTATGTATACAAAATTACTTCTAAAACTCTACATTCAGATTTAAAAGACACTTACATAAGGCCCTCTTTCGCCTTTTAGACCAGAAGGACCTCGTTCTCCTTGAAAACCAGGAGGACCAGGAGGACCTCTCACACCATCGTTACCAGGTTCACCTTTTTGACCCACTGGGAAAGAACCAGCATAAGCTGGCTGACCTTTTTCTCCTTTAGGACCCGGCAGACCTCGAAAACCACGAGGTCCCGATTCTCCAGGATGACCCTGTCTTCCGGGTTCACCCTAAATACATATTAGAGTATATATAACTCTTACAGAAATTTATTATTTGTATAACTGAAATATTTATTTTAGAGAAACACACAAGTAATAAATTTCTATAAGAGAAGAAATATCTTCTTGTATACTGTCATCAATTAATAATACATTAATAGTGATTATTTTCAATTACTTGTGGTGTGATTCTTTAATACTTACATCCGTTCCATTGCAACCATCACGACCAGGTATACCGGGAGGTCCCGGAGGTCCTTGTACTCCGGGCACGCCATTTATACCGGGAAAACCAGGCATACCCATTTTTCCCTAAAATTTTTTATAAAAATTCTTTAAACAAGAGTAGTTCACATATAACATCATGCTCGTACGAGAAATACGTACTCTGTCACCTTTTGAACCGTGGAGACCTTGTGGACCAGGATCTCCTTTCTCACCTTTCGGTCCTAAAAGACCTTCCGCTCCCGGAAATCCTCGTTGACCCTTAGGACCTTGCGGACCGATTAATCCTGGCGGTCCCTGAACGAGAAATTAATAATATTTGAAATATTTCGGAAGTAACGCAAAAAAGATTTTAATGTCGGAATTTTCGGAAACCAACCCGTGAGCCTTTTTCGGCGAAACACTTTGGCACGCAGCATCCTGATCCGGTGCAATTCTGAGATGCTCCAGGCATGGGCACTACATGGTAATTACTTGGATAATTTTCGTCATTACCACCGTAACCACGACTGCCGCCGCCGTAAGCACCACCGCTTCCCCGGCCCCCACCGTAAGCATCTCCTCCGCTTCCCCGACCCCCACCGTAAGCATCTCCTCCGCTTCCGCGACCGCCACCGTAAGTTCTATCGCCATAAGTATCCGATGATCCTCGACCGTACGTCTCTGCACCTCTTGCAGATCCATAATTTCTTCCATAAGAATCGCTATTGCCATAAGGATCATTAGGATTCTGACTGTATGAGTAAGAACCGCCTCCTCGCTCACTATCACTGCCACCTTAAAAATCCCCGACCACAATTAATATATTTAATATAATTTCTATTTTTTTAACAATATATTTTTTCTCAAAACGTTTTGTATTGTGTAGATAATTTAAAATAGAGCAAGCTATAATCGCGTAAGACTGATTACCATAATAATTGTTATCACGATCGTTCGGGTAACCACCTGGTCGATTTTCGTCTGTTCTAGATCCTGACGCGTTGTCAGGATATCTGTCATCTGAGCTTGGTGGTGGTTGTTCCTCACGAACATCGTCGTAAGAACCATATCGATTCGCGTAAGGATCACTTCTGTTTCTGTAGTTCCGTTGCTGAGAGTAGTGTCTCCTCTCGTCAGGACTATAATAACCATTCGGAAAACTGCTGTTCCGCCTTTCGTTGTAGTTTCCTAGACACGCCAAGTAGCGTGATGTTCGTTAGTCTTTATTATATTTAATGTCTTTATTGTACATTCTCATATCTGTCTTTATTACGCGGCTACTCTCAAATTTTAGAAAACGAAAAAATAGCCCGTTTTGCATGCGACAAACATTGATATTTATTTCGCAGACATATCGTACGAAACAGCATTCTTCATTTTGTCGACTATTGATTTCGCAAACATATATAAAACAAAACAATGCATAAAAATATAATTGTTCCAGTTTTTAGATAAATATTGTTACACGCATTAATTATATGTCTATAAAAATTATGTGTGTAAAATTTATATTATTAATCATATCGTAAAACTGCTAAATGCAACGACATTATTATGTACATATATTCTTTTCATATTTATATATATAAATGTTTATGTTTAGTAGAGATTAAAAAAACTGAAGAGCTTAAAGAAATTAAAAGAGAGAAGAAGAGCAGTTATATATCTTTCCTCCTATTTCTCACATAAATCAGCAGCGAAAAACATAAGATGGCAAGTTGTCCAAGTACCTTCGTTGTTCGTAAAATACCCTAAATTTCTCCATGGCAAACTGTCATCGTCGCTACTATTTGTGGGTGTTCCGATTTGTGGGATATCACCTCGCTCCTCTTTTCCAGCATATCCCAGCGGAACGACTGGTGGATATGACGACCTTGTGTAATTATGTGTATTTTGCTGGAATAAAAAACAAATATATACGTCGTAGAGAGATAAAAATCTCCATAAATGGAATTGAAAGAGTACGTAACGTGTCGGTGCGATCAATAAAAACGCGATATCAACGGCAACCTAAGGGTACAGGTGTACATGAGATATAACAAAAAAGAGCTGCAAACCGTCGTTTTTCAACCTTACAGAGGTTAAATTGTGTTTGACCAATAATTCCGCGATTAACGGTGTGATGGAAAACTGCGCTTGGGAATTCGAAAAATATATCTTCTAAAGCGCTATCATAAAATAGTACGTGATAGCTACAACCGGGAATTCTGTTCGTTTATTTTCTGACCAATATAAAACGTACAAGTATAAATTTGTTAGAAAATGAAGGATATATATATATATATATATATGAAAACATTAATTTTATATTTTCAAATACTATATCTATATTTTTTTAGGTTTAGAATATTTGTCAAAGAAATTAAAAGAATCGAAGAAAAAAGAAAGAGAAGAATAGAATAATCAATGTTTCAAACAATTCACACATGGTTGCTATCACATACACTATTGTGCAGTATTTCAAACTTTGTCAAAATTGATTTCAAATTGATGAAAGAATTTTATTTAATGTGAAACATGAAAAAGAAACAACATCTGTTTAAAATACTCTGTATGACAATATATGCACAGAAAGAGGATGTGTTCATATATTTCTCTTATAAATACTTAATAAAGAGACACAGAGAGACAAAATTTAAATATATTTATTTGTAACAGTGCTCATAGAAAGTAATAACAAAAGACACACGCGAGATGTCTTTCGTCTCTGTAATTTGCAGAAGAGAGAATTAAAAAGAATGCTATTATATATGTGTACATATAGCTTGTGTGAGTGACGGGGTTTACCCCGTATAACATTAAGTTGACCCGCACATATATAACCCCCGCGCGTCCCCATTAAATGGTATTCTTCCGAGATTTATACGTATGCGTTCCACGACACGAGCGGCGTAGCCGTAAATTTAACGAGCTCGCATTTCGCGCGCGGCCAAGATTTACGCTTTATCGACCGAGTGCATCGTTCTTACACACACGGTCATCTCATATAGCGAGTGATAGTACGACACGGCAGAAAAAGAGCTGCTTTACCGGCCGATTCCACGGTTCAGAAGAGAAGATAAAACCGGCCATGGGGCGTTAGTGATCACTGCTAATGTCTTCATCGCGTTTCTTTCCTCTCGTTTCTTGCGCTCGAGAGAGATCGTTTTTACCGAGATTAATTGTGTCATTTCAGATTCGAAATACGTTCTTGAAAACCTTACACGCTTTGAAGCGCAGAAAAAAATAATAAATTTTGATTTTTATGGGAAATCGAAATTACTTCCATATCGATCTTAGCGAGATCTCTTCGATATGATAAATCGATTGTATTGCGAGAATTCAAATAGCAAAATCTGAAGCAGTAAAATTTCATGCGTTGAAAATTGTGTTTTCAGTTTTTTAGAAAACCAAAATATCACGTATTGTGCAACAATATATCTCGTACTCGAAATATCTCACACATTCAGTTGAAAAACAAGATCAACAACGAAATTAAAATAGGCCACATGTCTTCTTCTATGAGACGTTCCGCAGCAATTACGCGCGAATTTACAGCGAGCGCGTCATTATGTTTTCAGAAAGTCATTGTCTTGCCCTCGTTTTCACGTTTTTGCCCTTTTTATACATTCGTGGATGGCACGCGCTGACAGGAAGCGCGGGAAGATAGTCGGTTATCGTACCGAGATGACGTGCCGCACTTGGTGTAAGCTGCTGCGCGTCTGTGCTCCACACGCACCACGTATATCGATAGAATACGCGACGACATAGTGTCCTTTTAAAACTTCATTCATCTAATCGTGGAACTGGCAGCTACATTGTCTCTGTAAACGTGACAAATCATAGAAATCGAAATCGCTGATGATAAATAAGACTGCGAATTTTTCGTAAAATCAAGATTGTCTATCTACGCGATGCACACGGATTGCAATCGACAACCTATCACTTTTAATACTTTTTACACTCTCAGAATTTGTCCTGAATCAGCTGTAACTATAAAAAAGAGGTTAAATAGATAATCCTGCAAATGCGAAGATCAGAGAAGTAGAACATTGAAAGTAAGATATTGATTACATCGGTAGTTTTTTTGAAAAAGTCCACACTTGTCAATCTGAATTTTATATTTGAAGAAAAAATTTTAAGTAATGTTTAAGGACTAAAAAAGAAGGTAATTTATAGAAGAGATTTTATTACAAAAGCTTGCCCAGTTTTTAAAACTTTACGAACTAGAATGACATTTCTAATTACCTAATGAATACGCGTATCCGTTCATTGAACATTCTGTATTTAATGTCGATTTCCATGGATTTGATCGGAAAATTTGATGAGGCGCAAAGTCGTAAATCGCGTAAAACAGCTTAATGCTGGAACGAAGCGTAAAATCGCCGATATATTCTCCTTTCTCTCTCTCTCTCTCTCTCTCTCTCTCTCTCTCTCTCTCTCTCTCTCTCTCTCTCTCTCTTTCTCAATACATTCAATTTCGACTTATTGCTCGCTCATACGTCACCGCGCGGATCGCGCGAAAAGGGAAACAGAAATCAAAGCTGTGCAAAGCGGAAGTTGCTCGTGTCGGCCGGTAAACCCTAACTGACAGGAAAACGATGCGGGGGGGCTGTCGTCTCAATGATAAAGCCATCGTCCAACAATGGATCGGTCATTCTATACAGATAGAGCGCGACCTAACCGCACTGCGAATCTGCAAACCGTGAAATTATCCTGTCCCGACGCTATTCGCGATTCATGAGTTATGCAGATGATAACCGTCAGCGCGAACTGATGCCGTGCCGGATAACGCTCGGATTAGAAGACCGCTTAGCACTTTTGATGTCGCATATAAATCACGAGACAGGCGCGCGACAAGCCGCGCTCTTTTTATATCTCGTGCAAGCAACACGTCCGACAACGCTTTTTAATTGCGAAGTGTCTGTAAGAAATGACGATGATCGAACGCAATTATTATTGTGAACGTGAGTTTACGTTCATGAATATTGCATGATTACAATGATTACCATTTGTCAACTTTACCGAAGATATTAAAATAAAACAAAATTTACTGTGAAGTTTTGAGATATATAGGATGTACAATAAAGAGATGATAGTATCTTTATCATCAAAGCAGTGTTAAATTTGTATGTCGGCAGTTTCTTAAAACACATTTCTTGTGTTAGCCTTAAGGGCCACTTGCCACGAAAGAATCCAGGTCGAAAATCATGTACGTGAACGTTGCGGTGCGTGATGCAGCCCGTGACCGGGCCGGGTTAACGTCCTTCGAGCTAAGCCAAGGGTCTTCCGATGATGATCGATCGATCGATCGATTTGCAATCATTAAATTGACGCTTGACGACGAACGGATACTAGTCGAGCGACCGATGAAAAAAGCGAACGACATGCTCGTTGCGACCTCACGGGACGACCGGCTGATTGAAATTTGCTCGCGCGATTACGGTCGTTCTCGCCGGCAATGTCGTTGAACGAAATGTTTAACCCAATTCTCTTTTACTTGAGATACGAGATATCTTTTCGTGACGGTTCAAGAATTGTCCCTTTTATCGCCGCCTATCTCGGCCGCCTTCGTGAATCCGCGATTACGCAACGCGGCAACAGGCCGAGCATATTGTGACCGATCGCGCGATGGTCCCGCGTGTGTCTCTCATTTTTTTTCTCGTCCTTTTTCTCCACCGTCTCTTCTTCACGTCTCGCGTCGTTCTCGTCTTTTTCTATCTCGTCCCGGTCCCTCACGTATCTTTTTCATCTTTCGCCGTCACCATCCAAAACACGCCTAACGACCACAAGCGGACACGCTGACGTTAACTCTACGTGGGACGGAGTACAACGCTAATTCGTTAGTCGAGAATTTTTTTTTATCTCGAAGCGGCACCACGCGTACTCGTGAACATAATGCGCGGTCGCCTTTCGACAACGTCTAACGACGAGATTCCGATGTGTTCGCTGATTTTAATCTGGCTCGCGTTGCCGAAGCGACGAGGAGAATTTATCGGGTTCGTTTTAAGGGACACGAGAAGACATTTGCAATTCATTAACGGCAAGTCGACGAACAACTGTTGACTGCAAATTTTGACAATGTTGATCCTTGGTCAATGATCCCTTTATGCAATATATTTCATAATCACACAGAACTTCGGATCGGATCTTCTCACAGAATCTCTAGTAAATTTTGCTCAAGCAATTACATGTGTTAATCTTCCCAAAGTGCTTTAAAAAATTGAATATTAAGCGAATATTAAGCGCTCATTTTAATTTTAAATATTTCGCGTGTGTGTTTCGATAATTAAAATAACTTTTCGAATTATCGATCTTAAAAACAATATTAAAAAGAAGTTTGTATATCTATAAGCGAGAAAGTTTTTGCTATGCCGCGAGTTTGATATCTCAAATATCGCTGCTCCAACCGAAAGGTCGCACGTTCCCTCGTGGCGCGCAACTATAAGATTACCTGACTTGAACGGATTCATATTTCGTAAAATCGCGTATCCAGTCAATAAACTCCGAAAAAAAAGATTCTCAAAGGGATTTACATCGTAACTAAGTTTCCGTGTGTGAAAGCGAAACCGCGCGCGCGAAAAATTGCGGACTGCAACGGAACAGGTGGACGAGTCCGTGGTGTTGTTTTACTCCGGCGTGCCCTCCCCACGTGATCCGTACGACGTTCGCGAGACAGGGGGAAATCAAGTCCCGCGAGCGCTCTCGCTCAATTGCCGACTATTTCCAGTAGTGACTAAGCCGACTCGCGTGCACGTACGCGCTCGTGGCGTAATAAAATTACAGCGAGCGCAGTTACGGCGCCGTAGGCGGACTAGTCGGCTATGAGACGACTGCCCTATTTCGAATCTAACACCTTTCAGAGAAATCACCGTCGAAAAGAAGCGCGCGAGAGATTGGAGAGCAACCGAGCAGCAACCAAAATTAACGATTTAAGAGATTTTTTTTCTAATGAAACTAATGAAAGAAGATCAGAAGATGTCTAGGAAACATCTGGATATCTTACAAACGCTCGGACTGTTTGAATAGTTTCTTGCGTGCTCCGCGCGCAAAAGACTGGCTTAAATAAGCAGCAGATTTGTTTGCTTTGTGCATAATTTGCACGTTTTATTATGTTACAACGCGAGATTTACGTGTATTGGAGAACCGTCTATAATTAATTTATTGGTTTCTCTCTTTCTATCTATGTAGGGTTTATACGAACGGCACTCACAGACAGCACAGGCAGAGAAACCCTGCTGACATTATACAAGCAGATTCCTTATGTGCTTCCTACTGTGCTATTTGGCCGCGGTCGAACATTCCTAGAAACTGGACCGAAGAAAGACTGCCGAAGGGCGGCACGAATCGCTGTATGGAAACACCTGGACTTGCTACTGTGACGAGATGCCTACTGCCGCGGACGACAATAGATCCTAAGCGGCCTTGTAAATCGCGTAAAACTCGGCGTGGGCGTCGCGCAGACTGATTGCATCGGAATAATTTTGAATAATTTCGTTTTTAACGATCTTGAAAATAAGACGTCTGAGTGTGTGTCTACGCGCGCGTGCGTCCGCGTCTTCCGAGACGTTACACAAATGTCCACGTACATAGAGATGTCTGTGTGCGAGTTAAAAAATTTTGTAAATATTGTCGCACACGTGTGCCGAAAGTCTGCATTTTGTTCGGTGAAATGATAAAAACCGCCTACGTTGATACAACGACCGGATGCGAATGACATTCTTGATGCGCGAATCGCCGACAGAAACTTGTTCGTCCCAAACTTGTTTACAAGTTTTTCTTTATTATATATATATATGTACATTACATTTTTTTTTACACATTACAAAATAGACGAGTATCGGATTGCGCAATTGAAAGCATCTAATTCGATTCTCTTTTGTTTTTGCAGATCTTATCTTCCGCGCAAGCGAGAAGTGATTGATAAAGCTCGAGTTAACAAAATCCCCCGGTCACTTTTATTGCCCTCCCACCCCTCCTTTCCCCCGTCTTCTACACAATCACCGCTATATTTGTCGCACGTCTGGTGATTTTCCGTAAAACGGAATCTTATCGCCGCGCAAGTCGTAAGCGGCGCTTAAAATACAAACGCCCGCTTGTGCGAAACTCTCTTTTTCTTTTTTCTCTCACTCTTTACGACATTTCGCATAAACGAATCAAAAGTTTCGTTTCTCAAAAATGTTTTCGACAACACACATACTCGTCCCTTATGACGACAAACGTTTTGAATTGCGAAAACCAGCATCGATTGTGATAAGATCTCTCTCTCTCTGCAGGTAGCGACGCCGCGAAACTGTAAGCGCCCCCCGATGACTGCAGCGAGCCACGATTGAAAGGCGACCCCTCCCGATTCAAAGCTGGCTTTTTCACTCGACGAACAAGCGATGAAGTGCGGTGCAACACGAGAACGCTAAACGTGGGTGCACGTGCGTGCACATCGCAAACGCGTGCATCAAGTGGGCGCAAGGTACACAATGTACGTGCGCAACAACGCTGATGAATAGATCGGCGAGACAAACTGCGAGCAGTCGAACCGGTCGTGCGAGAGCACGATGTACCGCAAGATCGCAGACACACGCGCGAATCGGCATAAAACTCGCCGTCCCCCCCAAAACTGCATACGCGATTTTTTTTTCATTTCTGCCGGACAAAATTGGTTTGACTCGAGCGCGCGATATTTCCGAAACAAAATGTACAAAAATTATTAATTTGCGATCGATGTTGTTTGAGAACAAGTTCTTTCGAAGTCTACGACGCACGTAATACAGAAAAATGAGAAGACATATGTCTGAGGCGTATATGAGTATTATGTAAATAATTCGAGAGTCGTTGCGATATACGTGGCGATTTCATTATCACTCGCGGGATATGAAAGTTTTAATCATGCGTTCGTACGTACCCCACTAATAATCCCGGCCAGGCAAACTACGGATGCGACGAATCTGAAAGCAAAAATCGCATCAAACGGTTAATTCACAAAACGTCAAGTCACATGAAATTTTGAAGCAAGCGAAGCGTAGAAAACTGCGAAGTAATGACGTGAAATGATAATATCATACAAATTTCAGAAATGATTCCGCGAGATCGTACTCTTTATTTTGTTCTGAGAGCTATCCATTTTTACGTCACTTGAAAAAAAAAAAATATTTCTTCCCGATCACTTGAATCACGCATCTGTTAAAAATTCACGCGAGTCAACGTTGAGAGTTCAAAATGCACAGCGAAACGTTTTCGTAAGACGATACTTTCTTGACAAGAACTAGAGTCGTCAAAAATATTCGTCGGCAAGGTAAAAGACTCGGCATAGAGGAAAAAAAAAAGCGCGCGAAGAAAAAAGGCAAGTAACGCGCACGGTGCGCGATTCGCGGCTGCGTCGGGGTTGCATTGGGAGAATTGGGAGTGATCTCCTGCGCGCACGCGAGTTTCGCCTCGTGGTCGTCCTTGGGTCCTCTCACCTTCCCGCGGAAGCCTGCGCGCAACAGGGGTGAAACTATCCCCTCCGTAGAGCTTGCGAGATTGGCGCGTCGGCCCGTCGGGCGACGAGCCAAGAAGAGAAACCGCGAGGAAGACACTCAGAAGACACGGATGGAAGAAGAAGAAGAAGAGAGCAACGAGGAGGAGAGGAGAAAGAGGAAGAAGAAATAGCGAAAGGAAGTGATGGCCCGAATAAATCGGGCCGAAGCAAGCGTTCGAGGCAGAAGAAGAATTTCCTGAACGGACAGAAAAAGCAGAGAAAGAGAAAATAAGATCAGTGTAGCGACTCACCGCAATCCCAACCGGGTCATGTCGACCTCCCTATTCCTCGACGGGTCTAGGGAGCCGAGAAGCACAGGCTAAAGCACGAGCACCGCACAGACAGGCAGTCACAAAATATCGCGCGGAACCGGGCACCGAGCGGACCGATGGTGTGTGGCGGACCGTCCCATCCAGGGAGGGCTCTGAATGGACTTCGGGTGGAGGGAAGGAAGGAAGGTGGAGGCGGTGGTCGCACCGCCGAGCCACGCCAGCTAGAATTCCTCCGCCGAAAGGACCGACGAGGCGACGAAGAGAGAGCAGACTTCTCTCGGACCTTCCACGACCGGCGACGTCGCGCGCGCTTACTCGCTTCACCCGCTCGTTTTCCTCGACGTCGACGGGGGATCGGATCCCCCTCTTTCTCTCTTTCCCTCCATCTCGCTCCTGCGAGGGCGATCACGGAGAGTCTCTTGCCTGGATTTGCCTTCAGTTGAACTCGGGTTCCGCGTGACGGGAAGAGGAAGAAGAAGAAAGAAGAAGAGAAGAAGAAACAGACGGAGAAGCGGAAGAAGAAGAGAAGCGAGCGAGGGAGTGCAGAAGAGGAAGAAGGGGAGAGTTACACAGAGTACCGTCTCTCCGGAGTTCGTAGGGGGAACGAAAGAAGAAATAACCAAAGAGAGAGAAGAAGGAGGAGGAGGAGGAAAAGAAAATCACACAGAAGAGTAGTAGGAGGTGGAGGAGAAGGTGGTGGAGTGTTGCTCTGGGACCGAGCGCTCGCTCGCGCGGTCGCGCGTCGCACGAGGACTGTTGTGCGGCTGCGAGGAAACATACCGGTGTCGGTCGCGCCGGTTCCGAGCTGCCGGCCCGAGCCAGTCCGAGCTTACGGAACTTGGAACCGTGTGTGCCGGCGGGGGTAGAGCGGGGCCCCGTGTCAGGGAGGCCGCGGGAGTCCGACGAGCGCGCAAGGATACAGACCGCCCGAGAGATAGGGAGCGAGAAAGAGAAGGGAGACATCTAAGTAAGAGCAAGAGACGACGGGGAAGAGAGCGACGGAAAAAGACAGAGAGGGAGGAAAAGAGAAGGCGCGGAAAAGAGGAAGAAGAGAAGAGAGAACACGCACCTCCTCCACCGCCTTCGGGCCTGCCTTGTGTATCCCGCCCGTCTGTGTGTAGCGACGAACGATCAAGAAGACGGGCTAACCGGGCCGTCTGTCTGGCCCTTCGACACGCGGTGCGTCGACAGGCTGGCCGACGACGACGAAGCTTAGCGGTACGGTTTTCCAGCGCGATATATCACCCGGGAACCGTAAGTTGCCGCACTTTGAGGTAAGGAGAGAAGTATTCGGTGGCTCCTTTCTCTTCGGGGGTCGTGAGATCAGCGCAGAAAGGTGAGAGCGCCCTTGGAATCGTCCGCAGAAGCAGAGAGGAGGACCCCAGGCCGGCACGATGCGGCCTAGGGCCGCGGCGACGTCAACAATCAACACCGGCGACACGAGCCGCAGCATCTCGCGGTCGCTTGTTCTCTTCGTCCTACGAATTACCTGCGTCCTTGCCCTACTGGTGCTCACCGCCACGTGGATACCGGTCGCCGAGGCTGTGGTGAGTGACAAATGACCTTGAGAAATTATATTGTGCTTCCCGCCACAGCTCCCTCGCGGTTCGTGCCGGAACCCTCTTGGTGCTTTTGTTTTTGCGAGGGATAACAGAAGAATTGCGATCGAGTGATGATCCTGAAGGTGATTGATCGCGAACGTTAGGGGATGGCATCGAAGTAAGATAGATAGCGCGCGATGGGCTCGATGGGTGGTGGTGGGGTTAAGGTCTGATGATCGAAACTCGTCGAGTTCGAAGTCCGAGCGAATTGGAGAACCAGAAGTTGTTGAGCTCACATGAATAATCGCGCGTGCATAATCATCGAATTTCTATGCAGCAATTTCTTGGCACGTTGATCAAAACACTACCTGTTTTCACTCTCTTTAATATTACCAGTTGTAATCGTGATTGCGAAGCGAGTCCGAGTATGTGGGTTGCAATTACGTAATCGGTTTGAGATAACCATCTCACATGGTCAACTGTCCATCGTGATACGCGTGATTATTCCGTATATATCTCTTTTTGTTGATACAGTCGCGTATATGTAATAACTAATTTCTTTTAAAATCTAGTTACTTCCTTTTTTCTAAAAAAATAAATCTTTCCGCACTTTGATCGGCCATGTTAGATCTGCCATTTTGAATCTTAAAATTCTGATATTGAGGAATCGACAATTATGTAAGGTTGTTTAAAAGTTTTCTTAAATATCAAAGTCACATATAAATTAAGTATATAAATTATAGTTTTTTCCTCGTAGATAATTTTTTATAAATTTTGTACTAATTTTCTTAAAATTCTAATTGACTTGGTAGATAAAAATCCTTGATGTAATAAATCTTACATAATATTTAGATAGTTGTTTAGATATTATAATCATATTCAGATATATATTTTATAATACTAGCAGAAGAAAGTATAATAACTCTCTCAATTTTACATTCCATCATTTACTATTGCTTCACGAGATGATTCACGCGCGACAATCAGCTGTCAGGACCAAAAAAACGCATGCGCACCAAGAAATGCGATAAATTTCTGCAAAAGTCCCTTCTCTGTGCAGAAGCAAACCTCAACGCTATTTTACCGAACGTTTACTTGTGGGAACCATAAAATACGTGACGTGAAAATTACAACCGCACTTCATTTTACCTTTGACCTAGATAGATTATTCTTTTTACTCATTTCCTCAATGTTTGACTTATAATATTTTAAAACGGCTAAAGTTTCGATTTACTTATTAACATATTTTCAAAATTCAATTCGCTCTTAGTTATTAAATTATCAAACATTGTGTGTTTAAAAAAAATGTTCTGAAAGGAAGTTAGAAAACTTTGCAATCGTAAAATCATATTGTATATATTTTTACTAATCAGTTTTTTTTTTGTGAAAATATTAATTAGAATTTTTGTCTTTGATTTGTTTTAGTTTTTTAAAATTCTTCGATGAACGCAAGTTATCCATTTTCTTGCTCTGTTTCATTTATAAAAGAGGACACTCTATTGTTCCAAGCGATCGCCAACTCTCGATCTTTCCAATGTTAAACGAACGTAGGTGTGTTTTGCTAACGTAACGTATAGCGACGACATACGAGAGAATAGACTGATATCGCTCCACATCTGGGACAACTTATGCCGTTCTTAGGATAGAGTCTACGGAACCTAATTCCAGCCTCTCATGCCATGCCGGACAATGCGTGGGAACGACAAACGAGCGCTTTAAACGCTGCCTTTGCCCAATGGATATAAATATTCGTTTGACGGTGAAATTGACGTGCATGTTCACGTGTGGTTCGTTGCCCACTTATTCTGTCCCAAAACGATACCATCGCCAGTCCCCAATTATCGGCCACTCGCTCGATTAATTACGCTTTTATCCGACAATTACACTTGTCAATCTGAAGTTTCATTCTCTAAGAGAGTATCAGATTTTTTTTAAGAGATATTTTATTTATTAAAATAACTAATCGTGCGGGACTTGCCACGTTCGGATTTATTGGACCACAGAATTACTTTAACATTCTAAAACTTTTACAAATTAAATGAAATTAAGTTTAGTGAAATTTCTGAATTGAATTTTTATAAAAAAACAATTTACAGAAATTGTATAGAAAACAATGTTTTTATTTATTTAATTGTAATTACAACAATAAATAGGTTATAAGACGCGTGCGTCGACATGGCTCGTTTACGAAAAACCTTCTGAAAAATTAATTTACGTGTTTGCATTGGAACAAATTAAATTTCACACGAGCTCCGCGGGAGGTAGATGAACAAGTTCAGTATAATTTCGTTCCGGGCACAACGTGCGTTTTGACTAATACAAAATTTTGTGGTGTATAAACCGGTTCAACCGGCGCGATCGGAGGAAGAATCGTGCGATGTGTAGCGGATGATTAAATCGGCCGTGAAGTCAATAGTAATGTAAGAGCCCCATGTGGAAAGCACCCATTAGCGTGACGCTGCGCGTCGAGTTTGTAACCCGAGAGCCTGAAACTGCAAGCTATTTGACATAATCTCGTTGCAAAATAGACGGTTACGGCATTCCAGTTAATCGATGACGATGCGTGTATTTACACGCTTCGCGCGAGAGGGTATGCTCTTTTATTCTAGCCGTGCAATATCGCGTTAAACGTTAATAGCTTTAATGTTATATATATATATAACGTTCTCTCTTTATAAATATTATATGTAGAGAGAAAGAGTGGTTTTGGCAAATCCAAAAGAATTTACTTTTTTGTTTAACTATAAGTACATTCTTATGTACTGTTGATAATGGCAATGTTTATTTGTACAAAACAATAATTAGCCTGGTTTTATGCTAAAGTTTTATTTGCAATGCTTACAAATAATAGTTTTTTTTTGTAACATTAAACAAAATATTTATTGTATATACGTACGCACACATAAACAAAAAAATATTGATAAAATAATATTCAAATTATTATATACAAAATAATATTTCAAATTAAAAAAAAAATACTACAGCTACCACCCGCTGAATTGACGGCTTTTTGATCTAATTTAGTTATAATTTTAAAAATAATATTGTATATCTCTTAGATTGTGTGCATCGTACCTGCCGTCGTACCGTTGAAGTCACCCGGTAGACAAGTACGTAGGCGATTTCGACGCCCGAGCAAAGAACGACTTCGTCTTGCGGAAACATGAAAGCAAATAACCTGGCACGAAAAGGGGGTGGGAGAAAGCGGTATCCCTAGTCGTCGGTGGCTCCGTTTTTATGTGCCTTTATATCTCTTCTTCGGACGCGGCGGGTCATTCTGCCAAAGTCATTCAGAATCGTGAGAAATGCGTCGTAGCGAGCAGAATCGCGTCCCCCAATATTTCGACTAAATATATCACGAAGAACTTTCACGCGTTAACTGAAACATAATATCGAACATACCGTTAGCGAGATTTCAGCAAATTTTTTGTTTATATACGCACGTCTTCTCTTTGTTATATTTATTTTACCGCGTAAAGTTTCTTTCTTGTATAAAATAGTGACACTTAAATAGATGTTTAATTTGTGAATCACGCCTACAAGAAATATTACCGGACATTATCCTACACACGCTCCGAGTTTTCAAAATTTGGAAACTTATATTGAAATATTCCTGAAGTAAAAGATATCGTATTCCGTTCTGACACCCCCGAACTGTAATAGCCATTTGTCTTCGGTACGACGCAACAGATCGGTCGGAGGTGTTGCTCGCGTAGGTTTTTATTAGTTACTGAATTATTCAGCAAAAAAGATCGATACACACATTGAAGTGCTTTATTTAAATGTTTCTTTGTTACTTACAAAATTGCTAAAATTCATAACACGATACGCATGTGTGCGTATTAATACAGTTACATAATTCATACAAACTTGTTGAAAAACATAAGTAAAAGCAAAAAGAAAAAATAGAAGAAATAAATAAATTTACAAAAAAAAAGTGTAAAATATTCAACGACAAAGAAATGCAATTGGCAATATTAAGAAATAATTTCCAGAGGCGAACCGCAATATTTATGTAGGTTGACGAACTATAGGAAGAGATGAATCTCTCTCCGCGGCTGCCGCGATAACGATAAGGCTTTCCTGTTGTTCTACGAAAGAAGACAATTATTGCGGGATGATGCAGTAGTTCGTGCTCTGAAACACGACGGAGCATCAGACGAAGCATCTACTCCCATCTCGTCTCGTCACGTGTGAATGTCTGTGTGTGCGCGCCCGTTATACTTAAAGTAGTTTCTTACAAGTCGGATTCAGAAATCAGAGAAGCGCGCTTTTACAAAACGTTTAAGGCTACACCCACCGCGTTGATTCATTATTTTCGAAATACAATATATTATATATTGCGTGGTTTCCCCAAATGTGTCCGTTCAAACTTCACGCACGTCCCGTGGAATACATACATATGTAAAATAGTTTCCGCCCACGCGATCACCGCGGAAGTCGGCGGGTGTGATACGTAATTCTACTTTGGGACACGCTCGCGCGGAGACTCCTCCGTTCTCTCTATTGTCACGAGATTTACCGCACGTGTGATAGTGCGCAAAGCGGAATTTAAATTGCAGTTCTCGATAAGATGTCAAAGTTCTCTCTCTCTCTTTCTCTCTCTCTCTCTCTCTCTCTCTCTTTCGTATCTCTCTGAAACTCCACAGTAGCGATACGATTCGAATGTCAAGTGACAAATACAAACTTTAATTCGTTCTATTGGATAAAACGGTGCGTTTCAACGTTCCATTGAGCTTTTGATAAGATGTTAATGCTCTCGCGTGTTCACATCTGAACTATACAATTATCCCGATACGATTTAAGTGTCAAATGACAAATACAACTTTAATCCGCTCTATTGGATAGAACAGTGCATTTCAACATTCCATTGAATGACATCACGTTTTCATGTAATTGAACCCAAACACATTGTCCACACGCATTGTCATTAATCTTCCCGCCGCGCGATGATATCTGATAAACGTAAATGGACATAGGCGGCTACGCGGACTGATACGTAACAG